GGAAAAGGATGGGCAGAGAAAGGAAAGGACAGAAACTGGCTTTGGAGCATCACTGTCCTCTAGCACTGTGATCCATATGGTTTGAGTCCTCCTCCACCCCCATCAAGACTCTAGACCACCCACCCCCACCTACCTGCTAGGATACCCAGGAGTTCACAGCCTCCAGCCCCTCCTCCATCAGACCCAGGAGTCTTGCCTTAGATCCCCATATCTGGCCACAAGTCCCTCCTCCCCCAGGACTCAAAAGCTGGGACACTAAACCTCACCCTCCACTCCTGCTGCGGCCATGAACATTTTATAAGTTGTGTGAAGCAACTGACGACCTTTCAACAAATCTGGGAAGCAGGCAGGGAAAGGCTGTTCAAAGAGGGGAGGGTAGCCCATTTCCCCAACCCTGCTCCCCCATATCTCCTCTCCCACCTCTATGTGCTGGACTCACATCCAAAGTAACAGGAGAGGAAGAAGATGAGGATGAAGATGAGGAGGAAGGTCACATCTGTCTCCAAGATCCCTAGGATTTGGTGGAAGGAGAAAATGGTTCCCAGAGTGGGTATCTCTCAGCAGGTACCCACTCTGGGCTTCCATAGAGATCCTTTTGTTAAAAATATTTGTTTATTTGATTAGTTTGTTTTTGTTTTTTGGTATGGGGGATTGAATTTAGGAGCATTCAACCACTGAGCTACATCCCTAGCCCTTTTTAAAAAATATTTTATTTAGGGACAGGGTCTCGCTAAGTTGCTTAGAGCCTCTCCAAATTGCTCAGGCTGGCTTTGAACTCTCAATGCTCCTGCCTCAGCCTCCTGAGCCACAGGGATTACAAGCATGCACCACAGAGCCCAGCTACTTGGTTAATTTTTGTGGTACTAGGGATTGAACCTGTGGGTGCTCTACCACTAAGCCACACCCCCCAGCCCTTTTTGTTTTATTTTGAGACAGGGTCTTGCTAACTTGTGATTCTCCTGCCTCAGCCTCCTGAGTTGCTGGGATTACAGGTGTGTACCAATGCACCTGGCTCCCACAGAGACCCTGAATCCTGTTTTCCAGATATCTGCTCACCAAACTCATCAGCAGAGAAGTGCCTTGTCCAGAATGACTTGCCATTGGTGAGGACCATCTCATATTCCAGCTGCAGCCCATCTCCCTGTAGGGAAAGTGGAGGCCTAAGGGGGGTCCTGGGCAGGTAGGGAGTCAGCAGGAAGACAAAGAGGAGAAGGCCCAGGTGGCCATCCCAGCCCCGTACCCCACACTTGCTGAGTGCGATGTACCACCACCTTTCACGCACAGAGCGGAAGCTTCGGCCACTGGAGCAACTCAGGTAGCGGGTTCCCTCTTCTGACACCACCTGGGGAGGAGCCAGGAAAAGGCTGAAGCCTGTCCTCAACGTCCCCAGGCCTCAACTTTCAGTACCTGCCCACTCCCCCGCACCTGACAGCCTGACCAGGCATACTGGGTGGTGAGATTGATGACCTGGTTGTTCTCCGGCCTGATCACTGATTCCTTGGCCAGGCAGTCCTGAGGAAGGCAGAGATAGGGTCACTCTGTGGTCACCCACAACCTCTGCCTCCTCCCCCTGCACCCTCCTCACAGCCCTCACCTTGTCTCCTGCCTTGTACACTGCTGGCCACTGGGATGGATCATCGAAATAGAGGAGGATGTTCTGACAGCACTTGGTCTGCAAACCCAGAGATTTGGGGGTTTGGGGAAGTGCATGGAGCTATGGTAGCCCTTACCTTGGGAGGCCTAGGGATTATCCAGCCTCAGTTTGGCAAGTAGTTGGGGGAGACTCACCTCAGGGTAGCGGAAGCGGAAGTCCAGTCGACCATAATCCGAGAGGAAACAAAATCTTGTCAAGAATACCCAGTCCTGGCAATGGGACCCAATCAGACTCTCTTCTGAGTCCATCCAGAAGGCTCCTCCATTTAATAGACTCGCAACCTGTCTTCCCTACCCAGATAACTGGCTTCCCAATACCACAAGGAGACCAAGTCACCTCCAAAATTCTTTTCACTTCCCTTTTGCATGGGTCCAGGATTCCTGCTGCCCTGGTTTTCTACCTCAGATGACCCCCAAGTTTCCTCCCCTTGAGCACTCCTTCCTGCATTTCCCATGGAGGGCCCTGGAGGGCCAGGTGCCCATAGAAGCCACTTCTGTCCAGGCCACCGTCCCATCAGCATTACCCCAGTTAGCGGAGATCGCGCACGCAGACACACACACACACACACACACACACACCCCGGCGGTTCCAAAGACCATCCAAGCTTCCACCCCGCCCCTCCTGGCCCTGGGCGCGGGTGCGGTGAACTCGGGCTCTCTGCAGGAGTGAAGAGTGCTGTCCCTTCAGCACCACCTCGGTGCGCCCCCAACTCCCACCAACTCCGCCTTTCCCAACCCTGCCACCACCCCACCCAGCTGACCTCAACGTCCCTAATACAACCCCCAAGTCTGGCCTCAAGCCCAGGGTCCCCGCGGCCTCGACCCTGCCCAATCCTCCATCCGCCCGGCTCCAGTCCCACATCCACCCGGGAGGGGCAGCAGGGGGCGGGGCGCACCCTCTCCTCTCTGGTCCCCGGGTCTCAGCCGCCGATGAGGAGGGCCCGGCGTGCTCACCTCCTTGGAGCTGAGGTTGCCCCGCACATACTTGGCCCGGGCGCGGGGGGGCAGTGGCAGCAGTAAGAGCAGCAACGGCGGGAGCAGGCGGCGCAGCGCGGGCGCGCGCTGGGGCTCCATTCCGCCCGCTCTGGCCCGGGCTCCGCTTCGGCTCCCGCTCCGGCCGGGAGACGGAGGCGAGAGCGCGCGGGCCGGCCAGCGCGCGCCCCCGATTAAAGGGGCCGCCGGGCGCAGCGGTCCCCGCCCCCTCCTACCCAAGCTGGAGCCTACCCTTCCCACTAGAAAGGGGAAGCCCCCTTGCCCATCTTTTGGCACTCCGCCCCAGCTCCAGTTCTGTACTCTGGGGGTCTCGCGGAAATCTTTGGTTCTTTGAGTCCTCAACTGAACCCAAATTCCTCTAGCTGTCCTCTTCCAGACTCCAGCATGGCACCAACCTCCCAGATGCGAGATCTATCCTGACCTCCCTACCCTTTACTCCCCAAAAGATTCTTTGATTAACCATCCCTCCAACCATGCAGCCCCCCTTAGCTCCATACCCATCTCTGGGTTGCCAGGGCCCTATTCCAATGCACCATGTGAAGTTTCTGCAGAGGCACAGAGGACAAGCTATTTGTTCTGGGTCACACAACATGGAGGTGGAGGTGGCAGAGCACTATACCACAACCATCAGACCTGGATGCCTGACCCTATCCTATCACTTCTACTAAAGTGTGAAACATGGTTGCTGTGAAACAGAAGTGTGAGATATCCAGGAACAGAGACTCAAGTTGTCTGGGTTCAAATTCCAGCATTGCACTTACCCACCATCACCTTAGCCAAGTCATTCAGCCCTGTGATCACCCAGTCTCTTTGGCCTGTGGTTTCACAATGAGCAATGCAAAAGCCTAGAAAGGCTATTCGGGGTAGAATCAATGCACTTTGGCTTGTTTTCTCTTACCAGACTCCAACAAAATTCCTAGTTTTGTCCCCACCTCTCCACTAGAGAAAATTTTCTGCTGCTCAAAATACTCTTTTTTAGCCAGACACAGTTGCACATACCTGTGGTTCCAGCAACTCAGGAGGTTGAGGCAGGAAGATTCCAAATTTGAGGCCAGTCTCATCAACTTAGCAAGACCCTGTCTCAAAAATATAAACGTCTGGGGATACAGCTCAATGGTAGAGCACCCCTGGGTTCAATTACCAATACCTTAAAAAAAAAAATCTTTTTACACTTTCTAAGCCAAAAGGCCAAGTGGAAAACCAGTGCATGAAATATCTTCAATGTAGAACATGGGGTCTTTGCTCTATGGCCAGTTGTTGCCAGGAGAAATCTGCTGCCACATCCTTTTTGCTTTCTGTGTGTGTGTTTTCAGTAGTGGAGATTGAACACTGAGGGATACTACAATCCCAGCCTTTTTTTTTTTTTTTTTAGTTTTTCTTTTGAAATAGGGTCTCCCTCAGTGGTTGCAAGGCTAAAACTTGTGATCCTTCTGACTAAGCCTCCTGAGTGGTTTTTTGGTACCGGGGATTGAACCCAGGGGCACTTAACCACTGAGCTACATCCCCAGCCGTTTTCTGTATTTTATTTAAAAACAGGGTCTCACTGAGTTGCTTAGGGCCTAAGTTACTGAGACTGGCTTTGAAGTTGAGATCCTCCTGCCTCAGTCTTCGGAGTCACTGGGATTATAAGCATAAACTACTATGCCCAGTGAATTTTTTTTTTTAAGAAGCAAAACTACTTGATTTCTAATGTAGACAATTGGATCTAACATTTAATATATCATGTGCAAAAGAAAAAACCCCGTGGTCCAGATTCAGCCCTGATCTACCTCTCCTGCCTTGATCCTGTACATATACTGTTCCTTGTGTTCATCAGGGCAGGAATTCCTCAAGGACAGGCCTAGATGTGACTCTAGGTCCCAGCATGGCCTAAGGATACGGGCTGAATGAAAATGTCCCACACCCTGTTTGCCCTCCTCCAGGTCTTATACATGCTGTTCCCATTGCTTTAAATGTTCTTTTTAGCCAACTATCAAGTTTCTACCAACTTTTATTAATACAAGATCTATTAGCTCCTCTGTAAAGTCATTACTTCCTCCTTGGATTCCCCAGCCCCTGATCCTCTCTTCCAGATGCAATCTCTGGAGCTGGGATTGTGTGTGTTCGCCCCTAGACTGGCATCTTGGTCTCACTGACTCTGGGTTTCAGCATCACCAGAGCTTGGAGTCAGGCACATATTTGGCCATAGTGAGTATATGTGTTAGAAGGACTATTCCCCAAGTTCCTCCATTTTTCTAACCCCCCAGGCTCCAGGAAGGTGACTAATGACAGTACCTTCCCCTTCATCTTAGCCTAAGGACTCAGTGCTAAGGAAAGCTGCTCTGCTGGATGAGCCAGTCACTGAAAATCAAGAGGACCATGAAGAAGTTACTTTATTGAGGTGAATGAGTGCAGGTAACTGCCCCAATCCTGGCCTCAGCACTCTCAGTACAGTCTCATGGGTGGAAAGGACCAGGCTTCCGGACTGCTCTGAGCTACCACCCAGGAGAGGCTGGGCAGTGGGGCAAGGGGGCTGGGGCTCCAGTCCAGAGCAGAGGTTCTGGGCAACAAGGGTGATAGTGGCTGAGGCAGAGGCTGAGGTGGGCCGACAGCCCAGGGTCTGGGAAGGGGTGGTGTGGCTACTAGCCAGATGCTTTTCAGTAGGTCAAAAGCTGTTGGAGGGCCCCAGGCTGCCCCAGATGGTGAAGGCAAGGAGGGCAAAGTGGGTGGCCAGGGACCTCCTGGTGGCACCAGGCTCACCCTGTGTGTAACGGGAGGGCTGGAGGTATGAGGCATGGAAAAGGTGAGCTCCTTTGTTCCCCGAAGTCTCCTTTGCCTCTCTTCCCTTGGGGCTTGCTCAGGGCTGTTGATCCAGGAGGGTGTCATCCTTTGTTTCTCAGAGATTCCAGGCTTGGTCCCTTGTACAGAGGAAAAAAAAATATATGGGAGAGAGCTGAGCTACAGCAGAGAAGGGAAAGGGAACATAGGAACAGGAAGTGGGCTCACCTGGCAAGGGTGGGTGGCAGCCTCGGAGCACCAGGGAAAGGTCAGGTACACAGCCATGGCAGGCCTGTAAGTTTCCCACGATGATATCCCTGGCCTCCTGTACCAGGTTCCTCCTGGGGAAGGCCTGTGGCAGAATCAGCTGGCACTGCAGCTCACCCAGCAGTTTCCCCAAGCAAGGGAGCTCTGGGGAATGTGGGGGGCCTGGACCCAAGTCTCCAGGCACCTGATTCTCCTTGCCCTTTGACTGTTCTGGTTCTTGGACTCTGCCTGGGTTTGGGGAGGGTTTGGTTTGGAGAAAGAGAGTTCCTGATTCCAGGGACCCACTGCTAAGCAATCGGGCCACATCCAGAGATTTCACCTCATGGTTGAAGAGACCCCGGTGCTCCCGGCTCAGCCGGCCCTGAGTTATGACCACAAGCTTGGAGGCAGAAGGGGCCACAGGATCCCGGGGGGCCACGGGATTCCAGGGAGCCATAAGATCCTGACGGCTCCCCCGGCGGCTGCCCACAAGGGCATTTCTCTCCCTCCTGGTCTTCCGTCGGCGGACACGGCCAGGTTTCTCAGGTTGCTGGAAAGGCTGAGGTGCTGGCCGCCGGGAGTCCATAATGTCCTGAAAGATGAAAATAGGCTGGTCATCAGATGCAGGTAAGTCAAGTAGTAGTAAAGTGAGAAATGATAGTTGAGTGAGGAATACTATTTAAAGAAAAAAGCAAAAAAAAAAAAAAAAAGAAAAAGAAAAAAGTGGACAGAGAGCAGCTGAAAAGGATTTGTCCAGAGAAGGAATCCTAAATGAGGTTGAGATACTAGTAACATAAGAAGAGACGTCAAGGGATAGAGAAAGGACAACTGGGAACTGGAACATGGGGATATAGTTAAAAGATGAAAGATGACAGACAAATGGATCATGAAATTGGAGAGATCTAGGGACCAGAATGGAATTTTGGACAGAGGAGAAATCCAGGAGTTGAGGAGTTACAAGAAGATGCAGAAAGTGAAATAAAAACCTTAGAGAAAGACAGGAGAAAGAATATCAAGAGAAGTTGGAGAGCCTGAAAGATCCTGGAGGACAGAAAGGAAGACAGAAGACCTATCAGGGACAGGGACTAGTTTTGAGGGGAGGCCTGGGGCAAGGGGCAGACTAGGGCAGTTGAGGCAGAGCAGGGGGCAGAATGAGGGGAGTGCGCAGAGGTAGAGTGGGGGAGGGGCAGCGTACCCTCTTCTGTACCAACGAACCTGCCCCCAACTCACTCCACGTGGCTGTGGAGAGCAATGGCTTCTTTCATACCCGAGCCTCGAAGCCGCCCCGCGCTCTTCGGGCCTCAGGCACACTACACGCATGCGTGTGTCCCTGCCACGCCCTTTGACTTTCAGGCGCCCTATAGAGGCACGAGGCTCCCAAAGTGCCAGTTATAGCCCCGCCCTTCCAGCCTTACTTGGCCTCGACATCTCCTGCCCACCAATTAGCTGTGAGATTATCCTAGGCCCGCCCCATTCCTGACTGCTGATTGGTCTAGACAGCTATTGGCGGGCTGTCTAGAAGTCAAGATGAGCGGGCGAGGAGAAGAGCTTTGTCTTCCCAGTTTCCTGACACAGACCTGATCCTTGGAGAATCTTACTGTGGTGTTGTCATTCACAGTCTCTGAAGCTTAATTATCTAGGTCAAACACCCAAACAAGTATATTTGACCTTGGAAATTTTTGAAATTGCTCAGAGCCTCCCTCAAATGGTTGCTAGAAGGTTGGAAAGAACCAATACATCAAACTTGAAACAGTGCCTACTGAATAAATGAATGAATGCTTGGAAGCTTTGTTTCTCACTCAGCTTTGCTTCAGGAACTACCCCGTCCCCCACCTTTCCAGGTTATCTGTCTATACTTGTTTCCTCAGACTTTAAAATCAAACAATGCCAAGATATTTCCCATGCATAAGTAATAGTATAACCAAATTTCTTTTCTTTCCGTTTGCCCAGTCTTCATTATATCTCAAATTCTGCTCAGATACTGCTTCTTTAAAAAAACAAACAAAAACAAACAAACAAAAAAAAAAACCTGGCACTCAGAATGCTTCTCTTCCTCCTCCAGAAGTCCCTTGTACTTCCCTCAGTCTCAACTTTGACTTCTCATAGCTCCATGTTTGTTATCTGTCTCCCCAAAACAAGGATAAGGCGAGGATCCGACACATTCATGCAAAATTCATTCAGCAAGTATTGTATTTGTTGAGCAGCCACTATGCCAGGCTTGGTTCCAGGAAAGTAGATTCAGCAGAACATAAACACAATAAATAACACTCATCTCTGACTCCATTATTAATCTATCCAGAAGCAATGAATAGTAGGGAAGGTCCAACTTGGAGGTGGGCTACAAGAAAATGATCAAAATGTGTAGGAGAGAGTGAGACCTCCACCAGGTCCCTGAGAACAGGGAGATGTGAGAAGACATTAAAATTTGAGATTAATTTAGAGCAGGGATGTGTAGGGGCGCAACCCTAGGTGGCCTTGGCTGTGGATCTGTTTCAGAGGCCAGACACACCCAATTGAAGGTGTAGGTCGGCCTCTATGTTTACAAAAGCAGCAGAGGCGACAGATCTGCAAGTTGATCTGCAGAAGAAGTGCCAAGATGGACCTGAGTCCTGCAGACATCTCCAATTTCCTTTCTTTTTCTGCACCTTGTAGGTATTCTGGTGTTTTAAACTTACAGATATGTAGGTTAGATTTTATGGCATAAAACAAAAACAAACACCCTGGTGTTTTGAGTGAAACCCACGAACAGAGAGATTCCCTAAGGCTCTGGTTCCGCCTTAGAGTGTCTCCAAAGAACTGTTCCTCTAATTTTCACGTTTTGCCATCTTTTCTGTCCCCTACAACAGTAGAAAATAGGAGCGTCCCCTCTTGCCAGGTGCGTAGGAGCCGCCCCCTCAAGGGATCTAAGAATGAACTCGTCCACTCGCTTGCCTCTCCCCCCCCCCACTCGCCGCCACCACGTGAATGGGGCACACCCCCCACACCGGAGGTGGTCCTTTCATCACTTTTCTTTTCGTACTGCAAATGGTTTCTTCCACCAAGGAAAAGCGATAGGTTTTCCTTGCCCACTCTCGGCTTTTCAGGTAAATCGCCTCTCCCCGTGGCACCAGTAGGTGGTTTCTCCCACCTCCCCCGCCACAGGGATGGTCTCGCCTGCCCCTCCCCCCGTACCGGGGTGCGCTAGCCGCCGCCACCGCCCACTAGTGAGTGGCCCCGGCGGGAAGCGCCGGACGAGCCCACCGCGCGGCCGCCGTGGGGGAAACGAAGGTTCCTAATTCCACCTCGCTCCAAAGTGAAGGTTTCCGCCCCTGGGGAAGAGGCCGCGCCCTAGATCGGCCTTCGTCCTCCGCCTGAGAGAGATCGTCGGGACAGTCCATTGTTGCCTGGAGGGGTAGGAGTGGGCGTGGCGGAGTCACCTCCTCCTGGGAGCACTCCCGGGCCCACCTCACTTGTTCCTCCGCAGGAGCGGCGACGCCAACATGAGCGGAGAGGAGAATCCAGCCAGCAGGCCCACACCGGTGCAAGACGTGCAGGGCGACGGGCGCTGGATGTCCCTGGTGAGCGATTCCGCCCGTTGCGTTCGGGTCGGGTGGTTGCGAGGCTAAAGCAAAATGCTGATTCTTGCGGTTCTCAACACCTGCCATCTGAGAAGCTGAGAACTGTTGGGGTCGTGCTGCCTAAGGAAGTGGGGCGGGGCCTGGGTCGCGCGTCCCTTTGACTCCTCCTGTTGTGTCCTCCAGCACCATCGGTTCGTGGCCGACAGCAAAGATAAGGAACCCGAAGTCGTCTTCATCGGGGACTCCTTGGTCCAGCTAATGCACCAATGTGAGGTGAGGGCTGTCCCCTTCCTCCTGCCCCATCCTGGCCTGTGCCCTAACTAAGCTCAGGATCCAGGCCAGCTAGATGTGGGGTGCTCAAAATGGCCTGAGGCCGCTGGTCACCAAGAATCTCCGTGTAAGTGCAACATAATGTGGAGGAGGAAATGTGTGACCTGAGTTTGTCAGATTGAGTCTCTGAATAACAAGACTTAGAAAGACGCTTTCCTACAAGATTGCCTAAGGTGAAGCTCTTCATTTGCTTCAAGTAGTTCACAGCCCTACTTTAGGTTTACCCAAAGTAAAGATTAACTATAATGATGATTCACAAAAAAGGCTGGATCATAAACTTTCCACTAAGCAAGGTTCAGCCATAATGGTATTCCTCAAAATAAGTTTCAAATATAATGTTGTTGGCTCCATGCAAAGCTCAAGCAGATGGATTTCCATAATGTAAGTCTTTTTCTTCGGGGTTTGGTTTAAAGGGAGACCATATTGTTTTCTATGAAGTGAGGTTACGCCATACTGGGATTTGCTCAAGGTGAGATTTAACCAGACAACTTCCATAAAGCAAGGCTTTTCTATAATGGTATTTGGTTAACACCTGGACAGAGGATGGTGACCCAGCCTGAGCCTAGGCCTATGCTCACACCATTTCTCATCCACAGATATGGAGGGAGCTCTTTTCTCCCCTGCATGCCCTCAATTTTGGCATTGGTGGTGATAGCACACAGCACGTACTGTGGCGGCTGGAGAATGGGGAACTGGAACACATCCGGCCCAAGGTGAGTGGGGCTTGGCTGGGGAGCTGAAGCACCCTTTGTTTGCCTCTTCACCACTGCTTCCCACCTCTCTTTCCACAGATCGTGGTGGTCTGGGTGGGCACCAACAACCACGGGCATACAGCAGAGCAGGTGACTGGTGGCATCAAGGCCATTGTGCAACTGGTGAACCAGAGGCAGCCCCAGGCCCGGGTCGTGGTGCTGGTGAGAGGCTGGGAGTATGGGAAAAGAAGAATGGCGGTGGTCTGGGACATCCTAGTTATAGACCAGCAGGCACAGTTCTGGGCAACTATGGCAAAGGACAATGATTTTCCGGCAAAAGCACACATGGAAGATTGCTACTCTCATGATTGACTGTGATTGAGGATGTATTTAGGAACCATTAGCCCTTTTCATTCAAGAGAGTGCTGGAGATACTGGGAGTGTTGAAAAACTAAAAACAAACAAAAAACCCCACACTTGCATAGCTGAAATTTGTCAGATATTCCTAGAATGTAGGCTCCATCACTTCTAGTTAAGGTTTTTCTTTGAATGAGGGCATTTACCCCTTGCTATATCAGCATTTAAAAAAAATTTTTTTAGATGTTGATGGACCTTTATTTTATTCATTTATTTATATGTGGTGCTGAGAACCGAACCCAGTGCCTCACACATGCTAGGCAAGTGCTCTACCACTGATCCACAATCCCAACCCCTATGTCAGCATTTTTGAATTGGAAAGAGACTGACACCCAGAAGTTTCTTGCTGAATGGGAGCTAGGACATGGTTTCAGGAACCTCCCTTCTATCCTCCCCACTTTCCTATACCTGGTGTATTTTGCAACTGGGAATATAATGGGAAGAAGCAGTTTAGTACAGAGCTTAATAGCCAGATGTTGATAGGACATCTTAAAATTTTTGGAATTCCTCCTCAGGGCCTGCTTCCAAGGGGTCAGCACCCCAACCCACTTCGGGAGAAGAACCGACAGGTGAATGAGCTGGTACGGGCAGCACTGGCTGGCCACCCACGTGCCCACTTTTTGGATGCAGATCCTGGGTTTGTGCACTCCGATGGCACCATCAGCCACCATGATATGTATGATTACCTGCATCTGAGTCGCCTGGGCTATACACCGGTCTGCCGGGCCTTGCATTCCCTGCTTCTGCGTCTGCTGGCCCAAGACCAGGGCCAGGGCGTCCCTCTGCCAGAACCCACATCCTAGACATCCTGCCTCCCACATTAAATCCTTCTTTCTCAGTCTCCTGTTTCCTGCTTTTATGGCCAAGCTCTTAGGGTGCCACCACCAGATAATCCATGAGCCTGCAGTTCTCTAGGGTGCTTTGTTCTGCCTGAGGTATCACTAACATATCAAGGCACACTTGTTCTTGCAGTTAGTTTAATTTTCACTATTACAGTTGTGTGCTTCAGGCAGGTGGTCAATTAGTAAACACTGAGTGAAACTAGCTTGCCAGCATTACTTTGTTAGGATCAAGGTCAAGCAGGATTTCTTGGAACTGAGCAATCCAACAGTCAAAGCCCATCCCTCACCTTTGCAAATGCCATTCCCTTAGCTGGAACTTCCTGTTGCTGACTCTTAAGTAGATACCTACCACTTCCTGTGTAGGTTCCCTCCACACAGTGCAGGCATGGGTGGGTGTCTCAGGTTGGTACTTAGTAGAGTCCACAGGCTTGAGCCAAAATGATCAAACCCAAAGAGGCTCATCTGTGGCTGCAGTGCTGGCTCAGGCCACATGGGGGTAGCAGAGGTCACTTTGAGGACAGCCCTGTATGATGGACAGATTGGCCTCAAGTCCTACTTGTGAGCTAGGATCTCTTGGGGCCTTTTTCTTGAGTAAGATTCCTGGACTGGTAAGTGTGAACTGCTTTTCTTGCAGCCCTTCATCCCAGGCCTTCCCCAAGCTTCCTCACTGGGTAGCTGAGAAGGGTAATGAGGTTCCCTGAGGAAACAATGGCCCTGACTGCAGAGGCTGCTTTATCTAGAGGTAGGGACCTCTGTCCATGGTGTCCCTCTGATGTTGGGGTGGTCTAGGATTTGCTCCTTCACTTTGTAGGAAAGTGCACTGCTCCACAACCATCTGGGAACCAGCCTGGAATGCACAACACTCCTTCCCCTTCCAAGCAAGAGCCATACACATGTGTTAAACAGCTTTAATCTCAGTCATTGCGGCTTCTCGGCACAGTAAGAAATATTGCACATGATCAACATGTTTTGTTCTGGGGATGGGGGGCAACGTAGGGGAAAATCACCTTCTTAGAAAGTACAACCCAAGTTGGGAGGGCAGAGGGGGTGGGGAGAGAACCCTCCCCATGCCTGTGGCAAAGTGCAGGAGCCCCCAACCCCCAAAACTAACCTGAGTCCAGCCCCTCTGGGGAAAAAAGGGGTGCATGAACTCCCCCCTACTCCACAGGCACCTCCCTGTGGCCCAAGGCCCACATTACCCTCCAGCTTGCAGCCCTCACATGAGCCATTTTGCATAAAGTACAAGTGAAAAGCTCTGAAGGTCACACGCTCCAGGTTATATATAGGGGCTCAGTGGCAGGAGACTGCCCTGGCTTCCCTCAGCTGCCCCCCAGCACAGGGAGGGAGCTGGGGAGGAGGAAGTACATACAATGGGAGCAGGCCTCATTCCGCCCCAAACTGGAAAGGACGAAATGGCTTTATTGGGAAGGAGGTAACCATCCCACTGCACCCCCATTCCTGCCACCTACACTCTGTGTCCTGAGGGGGTACTGTGGGCCCTGGGATCTATTCGAGAACCCTTCACCTGCCTGTGGCAGCTGTGGAGGGGCCTGAGGGTGGGGGAGAGGGCTGGGGGGCCCCCTCCCAACCAGGCTGCCCAGGTCCTGGCTCTGGGGGTAGAGGCAGTGGTGGGGCAGCCTGGGCTGTGCCAGAGTCCGAGCCAGGTGAGGTGGGGTCAGGGGCCCCAGCAGGGCTGGGAGTGGGAGCAGGGGTAGCAGCGGTGCCAGTGGGGGAAGGTCCAGGGAGGGAGGCCTCAGCTCCAGGAGGCTGCTCTGTGGGAGTGGCTGCCTGCATAATCTTCTGGCGCACCTCACGGATCTTCAACTGCAGACAAACCTTGGATGGGAAGATGTCCGCGTAGCGGGCCTGGAAAGCTGCTGTGGCCTGAGCTGGGGACAGAAAGCAGAGAGGGCAGGATGAGGTATACAGACAGACAGGATCTGTCCAAGTAACCCCCAAGACTTCAAGACATACCAGATGGGAAGAAGCCATGGTCCTGAAAGAGCTGCATAACCAGGGCCCGGCGCTGGTCCAGGGTGCGTCGCAGTGATGAGTATGGCACCTTCTCATATTCCAGCTCCCCAAGTACATCCTCAGCTTCTGTACCTGTGAGGGCACAGGGAGCATGGTTAGGGCCACAGCAGCAGCCAAGTCTCCCGACCATTGTCCAAATGTCCACCAATGCTCCTTGAATTCTATTTCACAGGGGAGTCAGAGTAGGACCCACCCAAAGTCACATGGTGATTAGGGACCTGTTCTCCAGAACTTACCCTTGATTTGTTGTCCTTCCTCTCAGCAATAGCCATTCCACTGTTCCTCTTCCTCTACTGCCCACCCCCCAACACCACTCTTACAGATCCTAGGGTCCCCACAGTGCCTGCACCTGTGCGGTCAAAGGTGAAGATATCCCCCTCGCACTTGGCACTCTTGGGGGTGTTGGGCTCTGAGCTGCAGCTGGATCGTCTCCTCATCTTGCGCTTGGGTGAGGTGGGGTCTTCAGGTGCTGAGTCCAGGTCTGTCCAAACATAAGCAAGCTCAGTAAAATTGGTCCAGGTCTGTTCCGCTACCTACCTAGGAACCAGCGCTTGCCTACCAGTCGAGTTCTTTCTCTTTTTGCGGTAAGAGCCCAGGATGGCTCGGGGTGAGGTGGCCAGAGACTGCAAGGTGGGTGAGGGAAGCACCTCCTCTGGCCGAAATTCAGGCAGCTCAGCAAAGCGCTCTTCAAAGTCCACCTCTGACAGGACCCTGCTGGAAGGCAGGCAGGATCATTTCCCCTGCCTTGGCCTGTGGTGCCCTCTTTTCCACCAACCCCACACACTCCTCCAAGGACCCCAGCCCCTGCTCACTTGTCCACAGAGTCAAAGGTCTTCTTCAGGGGCGGGGGCCGCACCTTCACCTTCTTGCCGGTACTAGCCGTCTCCTTGCGCTCTGGTGTGTCCCCGGCCGCCCTCCCACTGCTGCCCTCACTGCTGCCACTGCTGCTGCCACCAGAGGCTGCGGCTGGAGCTGGGGCCGGGCTGGGAGGAGTGGGGGGTTCCCCACGACTCTCCAGGCCCAGCCCAGGGACGCGCCAGTCTGAAGACGAGCTGGGGAATTTGCTGGCCTGGGATGCAGACAGACAGGGAGAACAACCCTGGGATCAGATGCACGGGGGCAATGGCCAAAAACAGATAAATGCTGAGACACCCCAACTCCTGGGAGAAAACCTAGTCCCATAGCCTCAGGAAGGCCAGGACATAGGCCCCCGGTGAGAAGGGATACAATAAAAAAACAGGAAGCACAAACAGGCATGAAGAGATGAGGAGCAGGACAAAAAAGCAAAAATGAGCAGAGTGCAGTGAAAAGCACCAGGGGAAACCCGCCTGTGGGCTGCTGGATGCTCACCATGGTCTCAGGGCCCTTGGTGCCAGTCCGCTCTTCAGCAGGCAGGGGTGGGGGGGGGCTGCTCCGGGCCGTGGAAGGCCAGGTCTCTGGGAGTGGTGGAGGGCCTGGTGGTGTAGGCTGCCCCTCAAGCTCAGACTCTGGAACAGGTGGTTCTCTGGCTGGGCCAGGCTCCAGGGGCTGCCGGGGTGCAGGACCAGGCCGCCCAGAGGCACCTGCCTCAAAGGAGCCCACGGGAATGCTGGCGATGGCTGCCTTCACTTTCTGGGGGGCCTTTGGGCTGGGCCGCTGGGCCTTCGGGGCCACTAAGCTGTAGGTCATGGAGCCTGTTGGTGGGTAGAAGTGTGTTTGCTAAGCCAGGCCTAACTGGGAGCCCATCCCCTGGGTTTCCCAGCATACCATGCCCTGAGTTGGTCTGACACCCACCTGTGGCACTAGGAAAAGGGCTACTGGGGGCTGGGGTGGCAGTGGCAGGAGCTGGTGGGCCCTTGGGCAGAATGGTGGCAGCAGGTGGGGTGGTGCTAGTGGCCACAGTGTAGACCAGGCTGGGGGGTGCCTGGGATGCCTGGGCCAGGGGTGCTGAGGAGGTGGGTACAGGGCTGCCAGGATAAAATGCTGTTATGACAGGACCTCCAGGGGCTGCACAGGCAGGAGGCAGCTGAGGGCTGGGCACAGGTGACACACCCACTTGGCCGGGAGCCAGCAATGGGGCTTGGCCTGCTGAGAGAGAGCAAGCGAAAGGTGGGGGACCAAGTCAGGGCCCAGCCTGTCTCAGCCCCACCCTGGGTCCCCAGCACTGCCTGCCAGGCCACCCCTCACCTGAGAGCAGGGGCTGCACGAAGGCAGGGCCGCTGGGCCCTAGTGAGGTGAAACCTAGAGCTACAGAACTTGTAGGCCCATATGAGGTGACTGCTCCAGCCTGGCTGGATGTAGGGCTGGTGCCCAAGGGCAGCGTGTGCCCACCTGCCGACTGCACATAGGTGATTCTGCCATAGGGAGAGGAAAAAGGAAGAGTGAGGTGAGCCATCCCTATCCCACCCCTCCCTTGGTCTCTGGGGAAGGGCTCAACTGTACTCACCTGGTAGAGGAGGGCAACAAGACTTTCTGGGGCTGTGAGGTGGGTCCGGGGAGTGTGGCTGGGCTCAAGGGCGGCACCAGGCCGCTGGGTGTGCTCACAGGCACGGGAGTCAACTGGATAATCTGTGGGTAAAAGCACCCACAGGCTGAGGTGAGCTAGGACCAAGAGGGGGAAGGAGAGAAATGACACCTAGGTGGGAGTTAAGCAAAAGTAGGAACCTCAGAATTTGGGATAGGAAAGCTGACAAAGAGGTGGAAGACACACAAAAAGAATAGGTGAAGATACTGAGAAAATTAGCTGGACACAGACAGGAAGTAAAGATGGCAAGGTGGAACCCCAGGAAGAATCAGAAAAGGAGAAAGCAGAAACGATGGTCTATAGGGATTGACATTCAGCAGAAAGAAGAGGGAAAGGTGGAGCCATGGCTAACATGCCCTTACCTTGCTAGGTGGCTGGGCACCATTCTGCACAGGTACTGAGAAAGGTGGACTCACCAGGGGCAGCGGCTGGCCAGCCCCGCCACCCCGCACTGACATGCTA